GGCCCAGCAACACATTTCTCAGCAAGTCACCCCATTATTAAATGGTGACTGTAGTTCAATAAATTATGACCTTTATACAGTGAATATTCCCCCTATAAACGTACAGAGAGCCGCCACTGCTGTGTTTCCTTGAGCACCTGTGTCTGGACATTTGTCCCTGCCAGTGGTGGCTGCATTGCTTTCTGGGAGAAATGTGGAATCGGCGGCTGTGGCCTCAGGGCTGGGAAGCACCCGGCTGTCCGTGGAGGTAGGGGAGCCCAGCGGAGCAGGAGCTCGGCCAGTACAGCATGATCAGTTGGACTGACGAATGCCACTGCAGGGTCTGCAGGCCATTATGTTTCGCAAGCCACGGAGCACAAGGAGCCTTGAGTCAAACAAAATCTGCCTTCAGTGGTGGCTACTACAGAGATGGGTCTGAACCCGCTGTGACAAAACAGCAAGCAGCACTAACACTAGGTGTAAACTCTACTGTCAATAAAGGAAAAATAAGAGATGCACATCAATGAACTATGCTTTTAAATTATCTGTACAAGGGAGGATCTCCTTATAGAACAGCCAAAATCAATGAAGCTAAAGATTTACAAGAATGTCAAGCAAAAAAAAATGAAGTAAGTGTATGATGAAATTTAAGTTATTAGTTTATGATTATAAGCACCAGTTTTTTAAATAATAAAATGCCTCTAAGCTATAAATTTAAAAAATAATTTAGCACAAACTAAATCAAAGCCTTGACATAGGTTTCCTGTTTAAATGAGATTACAGAATATTTGGAGATTCATGCTCAGTAATCATGGATAAATACATACCATTTAAATGGGAATGTTATTCATTACTCATGCAGCAAATAATTTGGTACCTACTTCAAGGCAAAGTCAACATGACAATCTCTGCTTTGGGAAACCATAACCTAATGGGAGACTGATAAATTGGTAATTAAAGTACAGTGTGATAAATATTATGTTGGAATTAGTCCAGATTCATCTCACTGGGAAGAAAGGCCATCAAGACAGAAAGCTAACTGGCTCAGTTGCTTGGAACCTTGAATTTAAAAGTGAATTTAGCTCCTGAAACACCAATTCAAAAGAACTCATGCACCCATATGTTCATAGTGGCACTATTTACAATAGCCATGTATTGGAAACAACCTAAGTGCCCATCAATAGATGAGTGGATTATTTACATAATGGAATACTACACAGCAAGGAAAAAAGGAATTCCTACCCTTTGCAACCACAGGGATAGAAGTGAAGGCTATTATGCTAAGTGAAATAAGGCAGATGGTGAAAGACAAATACCATATGATCTCACTTGTAAGAGGAATCTAATGAACAAAATAAACTGAACAAGCAAAACAGAACCAGAGCATGGAAACAGAAACAGACCAACAGCTGCCAGAGGAAAGGGGGGAGGGAAGGTGTGATAGAAAGAAGGGAAAGGTATTAGTCAAAGAACACGTATGAAAGACCTGTGCTCAAGGACAATGGTGTGGGGATGGAGTGTAGGGGGGAAGGCAGGATAGAGGAGGGCAAAGGGAGAAAAATTGGGAAAACTGTAACAGAATAAACAAGAACAATAAAAACACAAAAAATGAATTTAGCCTCAACTTTGACCTAAGAAATTGATCTAGGTATGTATATCACACTGACATAATTCAGACTTATAAATTAAAAACGTTATTTAAAAAAATTATGCACCCTGGCTGGTGTGACTCACTGGATTGAGTGCCAGTCTGTGGACTGAAATGTTGGAGGTTTGAGTCCTCATCAGGGGACATGTGGGCTGTGGACCAGCTCCTTAGTCGGGGGCGTGCAAGAGACACCAATCGATGTTTCTCTCCCTCTCTTTCTCCCTCCTTTCCCCTCTCTCTAAAAATACATAATTTTTTAAAAAAGCATTGGACAGGTGTCTACACACTGACCACAGATAGACTTATTAGGTTAAATAAATTAAAGGACAGCATGTATATCATCTTTGTATTGTTACAAAATATCTATTTGTGCACAGAGAAGTCTGTGAAAAAAGGAGAAATTTGGGGATTTTCACTTTTTTTAAACCTTCTGATTTGTATAATTTTGAAAAATGTGTATAAAACTTAACTTTCCAAGCACTGTTTTTGGTTATTTTAAGCACTCCTCACTGAACCACGTATAAAGCGGGTACTTTATTGGTGTTAACCCTCCTCTTGTATTTTTTCCCTCTTATCTGTTTACCCCAAATCTTTTGTTTCCAAACTTTGGGAGCAGAGACTGAAAAATAAAAAGCTTGGGCTGCCGAGTACCCCTTCCTAGGTAGGTAGGTACACTTTAGTAAATTCTTATGTGTTCTCTCAGGATGAGCTCTTTTCATCTCAACACCTGCCCAGCTAATAAAACCTTAAAAAAGTCAAACACCGACTTCACTAAAACATCACCTATCAAGGTTAATTACTAACTGCAAAGGCAAGCCAAGAAATCAACACAAATTTAAAATCCCATCTTCATGTTCATTATAACGTTCTCTCTTATTACAATACATTGGGAATACCCCATGTGTCTAGCAACAGAGGGCCAATTTAAAAAGTATGATACAAAAATTCTCCATTTTAGAGCCCTTAAAATGTTCTATAATTACGAACATGCTACTGATGTTTATATAATCCCAGACTTGTACAAAAAGATTTTTGTGCAAGAATACAGATTTGTTGCATAGATGCTTGAAAGCATGGGAAGGGATGTATACCAAAATGTGGGCAGTGGTTACTTGGATACTGAAGGTGACCTAACTGAATTCTTCCTTTTATCTCCTCATTTTCACTCTACAGAGGTAACATATTACATGTATCATTAAAAATCAATAAAAAAAGAGAACAGAAGTTTCAGTCTCCAAAAGAACAATAGAATGACTATCATAGGGAACCTCCCAGGCTTGTGATATGGCGGAGAGCAGTGAGTGCCTGAAAGAAGCTGATTTAAATGCCCAACAGCAATCAGCCCGCCAGGTCACTCTGGGCAAGTCCCTTCACTTCGTTCTTCATTCACTATTTACTGAGGTCCTTTATTTAGGTAATGACTGTGCTGGACCATGGCAATGGAGACGACGAGAGGGTCCCCGGCCTCCACGAGTTCACAATCCAGTGTAATCCAAATTAAACGTATTTACACAAATAATTATCAATTACTGTTGTGATAGGAAAGAAATCAAAGCCTGGTGGAGTGTTTTCCTTGCACCCACTCCCACATCCCCCCTCTCTAGCCAGCGGCCTGCATCTGTAAACAGCAATGTTGTATTCTAGGCTGAGTTTCCTGCCGTGAGGCAGTCTTTTTGGGTAAGGCCTTTGGGAGGAAAATCCAGGCTGTTATTTGTCCTGCAGCAAACTGAGGCACACGCAGAAGGGTCACCTAAAAGGGGCTGAGCAAAGGCATGGGCTGAGGGGCAGGAAAACATTGGCAATACTGTTTCTTAATCAAAATCAATTCGTTTTCAAGTTGGGAGGAAAGTTACCCTACAACGGAATAAAATATGCAGAGGAAAAAGAAAACACCCAAAGTGCAATATTAAATAGTTCTGGTTAACAAGTAACTTGATTTTTTTGTTCTTGTTCAACTAAGTTCACCTTATGCTCCAGAAATCCCCCAGTCCCAGCCCAGACACCTCGTACACAAGAACAAACGGAATCGCAGGCTGGCTTCCTATAGGACGAGTCTGAATCATGAAAGCACTGAATCACCTGCACCCACACATTTTCCCAAAATGTTTGCACATTCTACATTTAGCTCCTGAATTTTAAGTTTCTCGCTTTAAAAGATAAAGGTAAGTGGAGAAGTGTTCCTCATTTTCAATACTTCTGAAAATAAATAAATTGTGACCATAAAATGTGTATAGCGGTGCAGTTTTCAAGCATACACCATAATGTGCTTTTCTCTAACTCCAGAGGTAAAAGAATCACCTTCCTCAATCTAATTCGAATCCAGTGATCTGTTCTTTTACAGTCTCTTTATGAAAAGGATAAAAGTGAGAAACTGCCTTCTACAGCAGGTCTGCAAATTTCCCAGGGGAATAAAAACCTCCCATTGAAGGCTCCCGGGCCAGCCCGGAGCAGCGGGGGTCGGTTAGCCCCACACTAGCGCGTTCTCAGCACCCCCCACCCCCACATTCTCAGAGGCCTGCTGCGCCCGGGAGATTCCACCCCCAGCAGGACAACTGGAGCTCACCCAAGGCAGCACGCCCGCGTGCTGATCCGCAGCCGCGAAAAATGTGGCGCCCGAGTACCACCCTAGTCGGCTCTCGGGCCGTTCGGCTCCTGGGGCTGGCAGCCTCCAACCCGGGTGGCAGCCAGTGTAAGCTCGGTGTGGCATGCAAGGGCCGCAAAGCCAAGGCCCCGAGGTCCCTTGGCCGAATAAAGGCAAGGTTCAAGGAGTTTCATTCGTAAATCTGCGTGACACCCAACTGGCTCTACAAACTTGAAAGTGAGCGGTGGTTACGCGGGGAACCCGCGGGGTCGGGCCCTGACTTCCACATCCAGAGCAGCTGCGGGCCCCGGTGGGTCTGAACGCCGATCCCAAAGAAGGAGCTCCAAAGGCTGACGGAGTTGGGGGGAAAAAAAAAAAGTGAAGTAGAAGGTTCTAGGCCGCGGATCCCACTCACTCCACCCCACTCTGGGCCACCAACTCGCTAACTCCAGGGGTCCCATGGGACCAGCCAGGAGAAAGTCGCCAGGGAGTACGGAAATCTCCTTAATGACTTAGTGTTTGCAAAGAAGCCAACCCAGGGGAAGGGAGGCTGAGCCCTCCGGGTACCCTTTAGACTCGAGCACTCCATTCCCTTTCCTCTCCGGGTGGTCCCATTCGGCTGCGCTCGGGGCACTGGGACCCCCGGTCAAAGCCACCGAGACGAAGCTGCGGGATGCAGGGGAGGTGGTTGGCGTCACCCCTCGCGCATCTGACCCGCTTCCAAAACCTGCCCACGGTGTCCCGGACCCCAGCTCCTTAGCGGCAGGAGCCCTCCTCGGCCAAGTTGCCCACCTGGGATGGTGTGATTGCAGGAGACAGAGGCCGCCAGCAGGATGGTGCCCCCCAGCAGCCACACCGCGTTCGGCCTTCGCATCCTTCCACCGGTCCCGTCGCCCAGCGAGCGGGGAATTCGCCGCCACTGACTCGAAACTCAGACCGCCACTCGCCGCTCGGAGAGAAAGCCGCCCTCTCACCTGCCTCTAATTGTAGCCTCTGCGCTCCTCCCCAGAGCTGCGGAGTTTCAGTGAAACCTTAGCGCTCGCAGCACCTGAGGGAAGCCACGCCCCTTGGTCCGGCCCCTGCGTTCGTCCGGCGCCCGGGCACCGCCTCCAACCACCTGGCTCCGCCCTTACCCCCAACCTGTTGCACCCTTCCAACCCCACGCCCCCGCGCGCCCGGGAGCGCTCCTGGTTCCAGGTGCTCCAGCCGCAGTGCCTTGACTGCCCGAGGCGCCAAGACCAGGTCGACGGAGTGAGGTGGCCTTATTGGAATGCAAATGACAGGAACCCTAGGACAGAGGGTTCCTCCAGGCCTGGGCAACGCCCAGAACTGCCTTTAACCTTTAATTACTCCTGAGGAGACTGAGTGTTCCCTCTTCCTCCTCCCCTTTCCTAAATGGCAGAAAGCCAAGACCCGAGCGCACTGCAGTGATCGTCGGTGATTGGTAGAGGCTTCCCGGAGTGGGCACTTTGGATGAGGGTTGCGTTTTTAATCCTCAGAGGCAAAAAGGACTGCTGCGGACACCAACGAAAGCGGTCGGGAGCGGAAAGGGTTTCCAGATGGTGAAGTCAGGGATCTGGGAGGAGGTTTCTGTTCTGCTATCAACTAGCTGTAACTTCCAACAAACCTCGTCACCCCCTTCAAGGCCCATTTCCTCGAAGTCCTTGAATTTCCTTGAATTTCCAGGAGATGGAGGGAGAGAAAACACTTGGACCAGCTACTTTAAACGCTAACGGCTAAATGACTTAAATTCTGTCTCATTTAATCCCCACAACAGCCCATGCAATAACTGTGATTATTGTTCCCATTTTAAAGACCAGGAAATGGAGCTTAGAAAGGTTGGATAAGGTAGCCCGTGGTTACACAATTTATAGACACAGCTAGTAAATATCCACCCCATTTAAAGTCCAGTCTATGCCTACCACTTTCTTCTATTAATCACTCCACTGTAAATGCTTCCACCAGTGTCTCTTTCACATGGGAATCCCACGGTCCAAATATATAAGCAGATGGAGGGAGTGGGGAGAGAAGGAGTGTAAGATTGGTGATTGGTACACAGGACCTTCATCATATTGGTAATGTCTTACTTTTTTACTTCCTTTAAAAAATAAAGTTTACCATTATCCATTTAAACTACCAGGTAGTGGAGAGGCAGAAAAGAGAAAGGTGGAAGCCACAATGGGAGGCTGATTTTGGTTCAAGGGAGAAAGATTTCCAACAAGTCCCACTGGTCCCAGTCCTGAGGGCTGCCTGGTGGGGTGGAGGGTCTCATCACTGCTTGGCTTGCAGCAAAGGACCAGGGCATTTGTCCAGCATGTTAGAGGACTTCCCTCCCTGGTTCAGAGGCCAGATTGGGTGAGTCCAGATAGCCTCATTAGGGGCTTGAACCTTGAGAGTCCATGGTCCTCACTAGAAAACCAAAGTTGGGTGAGGCAGTTGCCTGTGACCATCATTAATTTTTGAACAACCATTAACTAAATGGTCACAGTCTTAGGCCTGTGAGTTTGAAGAGTGGAACTTACATCTGTTAAAGGCCCTGTGTCCTGTGTGTGATCTCTTACTAAACCCACCATAGGGCCAACTAATAAAACTAGAGTGGGTTCCAGATAATTCAAGCAGACAAAATGTACAAATTGTCATGTGAGCCAGTTATTTAACTGTATCCCCAATAATGCATTTCCCCAAAGTTACCTCTTCCCTCTCCCCTGACAGAAGAGCTCACAAGAGGAGGGAAAAATGAAGAGAAGCAAATGGCCTTGAACATGCCAGGAAAGTAGAATAACTGCTCCTTGAATAATGGAAATGGACTGCCTCCCAACACACACACACAGATGAGAATGGCCTGGGACAGCTGTCTAATGAATGAGACCATTCTTTTCAGTGGCTGCCTTTCAGTAGTCCCACCACTTAGGAATCTCTCATTGCTTTATTTCAAGTGAGTTCTTGGGAATGTGGGAAGAGTTTAGCCATTTTGCCTATGGGCAAATTCTGGCTTCTTCCCTTACTAACATCTGTGGGACCTTGGAGAAATTACTTGCCTCTCTATGCTTTAGGCTCCTTACCTACAAAATGGGGTTTTGCATCAAGCTCTGCACTCTTTTCCTCCCAGGGAAAGTTAACTTCTAGAAGCAGCACTGGAGACTTCCTCACCCTGTTTAGGGGAGAGTTCTCTTGGTGGGGATCAGTTTCCCCCTGAGAGTTCTGCACTGGGGGAGATAATCCCTGTGATGTCCCCTTAGTCTTTCCAACCCTCCATTTCATCATCTGTGATCTATTACCATCACATCGAAAATCTGGGGATAATCACAGAGCTTTTCCCATGGGGTGGCTGTGAGGATTTATGTTACTCTAAATGCCCATTAATTCCTGGTATATAGGTACTCAAGAAGTGATACCTACTATAAAATGACTCCTTCAAGGGGGAATCTTCCTCTTTTCAGGGAACAATGCATCAAGACCTAGCTGTTCTGGGCTAAAATTTTCACTGGTATTTTATATGCCCCAAATCATCAAAATTCCCAAGAAAATATGTTTTTGAACAATGTTATGAGTTAATTATCTCAAGAATGACCATATTGCCCTGACCTTGACTGGTGTGGCTCAGCTGGTTGGGTATCATTCTGCAAAGCAGAAGGTCACCAGTTTGATTACCAGTCAGGAGACATACCTGGGCTGCAAGATTGGTCCATGGTCAGGGTGCATAGGAGAGGCAACCGATCAACATTTCACTCTCTCTCTCCATTGTTCCTGAATTAAGAGGTATATTTAATTACACTACATGAGGCCAAAAAGGTATTACAAAATCAGAGATCTTGCTGGGAATATTCTGTACCCTTTCTACTCATCTACCTACTTTCAGGTGTTCAGGAAATAAAGAATCCACCCACTTACAGCAAAGACAACTTCTGCATACATAAAGAAAAACAAGGAAAAAGAATGGGCTACCATAAGGGCAGGAACATTTGTCTATACTGTTCCTGTTGTCTCTACAGAACCTAGAACCTTGCCCAGCACAAAGTAGTTGCTCACTAAATACTTACTAACTGAATAAATTATTCTTTGAAGAAATAATTTTGGGTAACCAAAACAGAATTATTTTCAATGTTGATGGTTTTCTTAAGGCTTGGAAGAGTTCTATTATTTTATATTTTTCCCAACTACTCTTATGAAAGAATACCTTAAAAAAAGAAAGAAAAATGTATTTCTTTTACATTATAAGATTATATTGTCCTAATTGAGTCAAAAACAGATAGCCTTGGAAAAAGCTTTCTATAAAACACTGTTTCAATAAAATTTTATTAGCAGTTATTATGTCAAAATTCACATTTAAAGATCCAAAGGACTATCTTGGGAAATTCAAAAGCATATGTAATTAGTTTTTAACAGTAAGATAGAACATAATTTTATTATAGCATAGGCCTTAAAAAGTCAGGAATAATACTTGAGAATGACTTACAGTTCTATCAAACCAGAAATAAATTCTGTGTGCACAGTGCCACATAAAGGAAAGTTCCATGAAAGTATAACACATTTCTATATATGTGAATTTCAGTGGCAACATCATTGGCTTCCAAACAACTGATGCTAAAGGAATTTTCAATCAAACCACAAGCTCAGGGGCTTTCGTTAAATATAGAGCTATGACAATTCTGTAAAGAGACCTTGAATCCTTGAGTATTTGCAATACGACTTTATGCTGCAACACTAGTGCAAAACCCATCAACTCTAATGCATAGATTTGAATGCACGATGCCAGTAGGACACTAAAGATGGCCTTTACTGTCAGAAACGCCGAGTTTTCCAGGGCAGCACAGGCTGGTTGTTGCTGATCTAGTGAAATTCTACTACCTCCAGCTTCAGCAGCATCAGAGGACTCACTAGCATTACACTTCACGCCTGACATATGGAACTGGACTGTAGATCTTCCACTGCAGTCACGTGCTGACATTCTGACGGCATAGGAGTCTGTGCGCCCTCATCATCCAGATGTCTCCAGTACCCAGTTGCGTCTACAGCAGAGTGCATATGTAAAGGACACCTGTGGCTTCTTTCAACGTTTCTTCATAACACATTCTACGTAAAAATGTCCAGATGGCAGGACATGGGCAACACAAGATGTGCAGATGTCCTCCAAATATATTGGACTGTTCTGCCAAGAAACATTTTCAATATACTTATGCTTTCCTTGGAGATTCAGAGCTAGGCATAAGTTACATTTCAAACAGTGAGAAAAATCTTCCTTTGGACCAATCCTACAAATTCCATGGTTTTCCCAAGGGTGCTGCTACTTGTCTTTGTCAAACAGATGGCATATACAGCGATAACATTCTCCAAACAGAGTGCTACAGTCTTCAAAAGGCTGCTGGGCATGTTGGATTTTTCACAGTTCATGCACAGCACTCCCTTTGCTTTAAAGCACTCTAGCTGATGGTCTTCCATGTTATCATGACCCAACGGGCAAATATACAGCTTGTCACAGCAAGGTGCCCTTGGAGACATCCTCTGCCATAATGCTCTGGGCCTTGGGCACCATCTTCCTACACAGAGGAAGGGGTAGAGGCCTCCCTCCCCTCTACCTCCCCCGACATCCAAGGACGAAGACCACACCCAGGGAAGCAGCACTGCCCTAGCACAGCCCCCCCCATGCCCAGTGTTTCTCTCTCACATCCACGTTCCCCTCCCTCTCTTCCTCTGTCCCTTTCCCTCTCTCTAAAAATAAATAAACAAAAGTTATTTTTTAAAAAAGAATGACTATAACCCAGCAGCCTGACTATCTGATTTACATCCAGTAGTTTGCAGATGTTTTCCTGTGACTTTTGGACTACAAGATTTACTCTTTAGACATCGATGACTGCTTTGCCCTGAAGGGTTTGGGGTTTTCGATGCCCCTGTCGAAGAGCACAGCAAAATCACCACAGGCAAGTAAGTCCAGATATCCTGGCTTCCAGGAACTGGGGCCTTCATGCCGTTTCCCATAGTCTACAATTCTAAGGAATAAAATTGGAACTGGGGTAGGCCAGACACTGAGGGAAAAGCCATTTCATTCCACCAGTTCTACAGTCATTTATCAAACTCTTCTGGAGAAACAGCGATATGGTTCCTGCACTCTTGGTCCTGGTCAGATGTCGATGGAGAAAAGGCTACATTCATTCAC